GCTCAAGTCACCGAGTCGAGCGGGTTGGGGACGAGGGAAGAGCCAAGGCGGGGCCGGTGAGAAGAAGCTGAAAGATCCACGACCAAAGGTGGCGTTGGCCGGGGTATAGGGGAGGTTGGCGCCCTGTGAGTGCCCGCCAAAGGCGTGTTGGCACTGGAGGCCGCGGAGAGGGGGACCCCACCACTGAGGGTCCAGTTAAGACCGTGGCTGGTGAATTCCGGGGGTCTGCCACCGTCACCCGGGGCACCCTCTGGGGGCCTTCCGCGGGACCGGGGCAGACCCGGTCAGCCACCCGAGCAAAAGTAGCCCGGAAATGCCTTTTGGAGCAGAGGCGGGCACAGGTACAAACTGTTCAGGAAGGACAGGCAGGGGAGAAGAGAAGGAGGAGTTGCACTATATGTAAAAGAGTTTTACGATTGTTCAGAGCTGCAGTATGAAGCTGGAGATAAGCCGGTTGGAAAGTCTCTGGGTTAAGGTTAGAGGAGAAAGCAATAAAGGTGATGTTGTGGTGGGTGTGTGCTATAGACCACCAGACCAGGAGGAAGTGGTGGATCAGGCTTTCTTCAGACAACTAGTGGGACTTTCAAGATTACAGGCCTTGGTTCTCATGGGGGACTTCAATCACCCTGACATCTGCTGGGAGGGCAATACAGCAGTGCGCAGGCAATCCAGGAAGTTTTTTGGAGAGCATTGAAGACAACTTTCTGGTGCGAGTGTTGGAGAGACCAACCAGGGGCCATTCTCTTCTTGACCTGCTGATCACAAACAGAGAAGAATTAGCAGAGAATGTGGAAATGGATGGCAACTTAAGCTTTCACTTGATCATCTTGTAGTGACCACAAGATGATCGAGTTTAGGATCCTGACAAAAAGAAGAAAGGAGAGCAGCAGAGTCTGGACCCCGGACTTCAGAAAAGCAGACTTCAACTCCCACAGGGAAGTGATGGGCAGGATCTTCTGAGCGGGAAAGGAGTCCAGGAGGGCTGGTTATAGTTTAAAGAAACCTTACTGAGAGTACAGGAACAAACAATCCTGATGTGCAGGAAGTATAGCAAATATGGCAGGTGACCCATTTGGCTCAGCAGAGAACTCTTCAGTGAGCTTAAACACAAAAAGGAAGCTTACAAGAAGTGGAAGCTTTTACAGATAACTAGGGAGGAGTATAAGAATATTGCATGGGCATTCAGGGATGAAATCAAGAAGGCCAAAGTGAAACTGAAGTTGCAGCTAGCAAGGGACATGAAGGGTTTCTACAAATATGTTAGCAACAAAAGGAAGGTCAGGGAAAGTGTGAGTTCCTTACTAAATGTGGGAGACCACCTAGTGACAGATGATGAGGAAAAGGCTGAAGTACTTGTCTTTTTTTACCTTGGTCTTTGTCCTGGGAGAGAATGGGGGGAAAGACCTCGGGCAAGAAAGGAAAGTTAGAGAGGCAGGACGGATAGGAGAGAGAAAAACAAACACACAGGGAAGACAAGACAAGAAAAATCTGCTTACCTTCAACAGGAGCCGCAACACGGCAGGAACAGAGAAAGAAGACCACGCAGCTCATTAGCCGCGCGTTTATTCAGCTGAGGCCAGCCGGTGACGTCACGAGGAATCCCTGTCCAGCAGGAACACAGGGGGCGGACGGCAG